TCTGTGAGTATCTGTGAGTGTCAGTGAGTGTGTCTGTGGTGAATCACTGGCTCTGTTTCCCCTGCTGTGTTTCTGCCTCAGACAACAGGAAGAAGAAAGGTCAGAGGTCAGAGATGACTGAGGGCACCAACCAGTTAAAGTACAGATTGCAAATCTTTGCTTGTTCTATTTAGTTTCTGATGACTGAGATTAGATATGTACAGATATGAGACTGATGTTTTTGTAAAGCAGAATATTGTTTCTATTACTGACCCTTTGAATCATCTGGAAATTCACGAGATCAATCTATAGACTGAGCACCACTTATCTTGCGTATAACAAAATATTTTTTGAGTTCTTAATTCAAAGTATAATACTGGTCCTGATTCAAAACGAGTTTGAGCAGCTCTTTGAATGGGCTACACAACAGAGTCTCTCTTTCTCTTTAAAAACAATTAAAATGCATTCATTATTATGGTCATATTAAACCTTTAGTAGAACTGACATGCTTCATTCTTAGTCTTTGTCAGGTAGTCAAACTCCCTGAACTAAAACAAGACATGACAATATTTTATGAAAAAACAGTAACATGATGTTATGTCATATGTGTGCTTGTAATCCATTTGTTTAATTTGTTGTAGTCTACTATGAACCCAATGTCCAATAGATGAGATTGTTTCACTGCACATTTTTCAATAGAATTTTAAGCTCTACTGTTTGATTATTGTGGATTTTCTCATTCACACACAAACAACATTCACATTTATGCCCATTATATACAATGAAAACTGTGTGTACATGAATACCAGCTATTCTAAAAGAAACAAATATTTATACTTGAAAAATCCAAATAATTTACTGACAGATAAAATATAATTTGAACAAAGTTTTTGAGCAGTTTATTATGAAGGCACAGTGAGATGTGAATCTACTGTGATTGTGTATGGGATCATTTCTTCTTCTCTCCAGACAAACTTATGAATATAAGCTTGGAAATTCTCCCAGCAGGTTTGTACGCCATTTTTCATCAGGTCTGCTCTATCCGCCATGCGGGTTTGTGAACAGACCGTCACTGGTCTGGGGTGGATCCAAACTATATTCACTGATGCTGGAGAGGCAGAGAAGGATGGTGGACAGACAAAATGGATTATGGAGTATCAGTAAGTGAGTCAGTCCTTCATTAGGAGTTTAAAGGTATTGGGGAAGATCCTTCTCCACCACCTAGAAAGAAAGCACAATAAAAAAAGTTGGCATCAACGCACATGTATGATCAGTTACAGGTGTAGTATTGTGTTGCACTTCTGTGTTTGTGACTTATGGCATCAAGAAAATGACAATTTCTAGTAAACAAATCCATGTTAAGGGGTATTTTGTGACATCTAGTGGTGAGGTTGCAGACTGCAACCAACTGAATATCCTTCCCCTGCTTAAGGTTTGTAGGAGAACCTGCTGCAGCCTTCAGGTAACATAAAAACGCAGAGCCAGTGTTTGTTTGTCCGTTCTGAGCTTCTGTAGAAACATGGCGGACTCTGTGAAAGAGGACCTGCTCCAGATGTAGATATGACGAGATCTTTCTCAACCAAGTAAACTAATTCTTAGTTTCAGGTGAAAACACATTAAAAACAAAATCATGATTATATTGATTTCTAAACCTGAGTCCCACAAACTAGATTAATTAAATTAAAAGATGTTGTCTCTCCATATTATAAATTAATTGAACATCCCTTTTATTTTAACTAATTCATACACACTTTTATACAGTTTTAGGGTAGTTTAATTAACACAGTAAAGCTCTTAGCTCTTCCTGATGTGAATGGGCCTCTAAAGGCAAATCATTAAAAAGCCACATAGGTAATATAAATATAAATATATATAAAAATATAAAATGTTTGTACATACACTTGGATCACTCAGGATTCCGTATCTCTTCACCACCTGCCCCTCTCGATTGATCAAAAACTAGAGAGGAAGAAAACCAAAATGTATTAATGTTTTTAGAATAACATTATTCATTATAAGCATTTCTGGGTTTATTCCAAACATTATCTTATAAATCTTAAATATGGTAAGCTTTAGTAGAGAGAGGGCTCTGATGTACAGAATTACATGCATAGATGATTTATAATTTATCAACCTTGGTGATCTCTAAATATTTGAAATATCAATGAATATCTGATTAATATTTACCTTGGTGAAGTTCCACTTGATACTGCTGTAAGAATGAAAAAAAACCATATGTTAATAATCACAGCGTAAACACTTGAATCTACTCAGAGACGTGTTAGGAAGTTTCATTTCATTATCGCAGATGTAACTTGTCGTCACATCTTTCTCACAAAAAGATAAGTGTGTCTTTTTGCCCCAGTGTTCAGTGATTCATACGATCACCACTTACTTTCCCAGGAAGCCTCTCCCGTTGGGCTGCTCCTTCAACCACTTCCACAGAGGGTGAGCGTTGGCTCCGTTCACATTGATCTTACTGAACATGTCGAAGTGAGCGTGGTAAGACTCAGCAAACTGTTTGATCTGAGACTCACTGCCAGGCTCCTTCAAAGTAAAACACATTTTTAAAATTTACAAAAGGAGATGAAAGCAAGTGAATTCCTATGGATTACAGTATATTAATGTATACCTTTTTAAAATAAGACACTACTAAACCAATGTGGACAAAACACCATTTGTTCTGATTTATTACAATATAAAGTACCATATGTCACATGTCTGTACTGCTGGAACACAAGATTTTCACCTCGGGGATGAATAAAGTAAGTATGTCTGTCTATCTATCTATCTATCTATCTATCTATCTATCTATGAAATAGAATATTAAGAAATGCTCAGTGATTAAACTTTTCCACCTTTACCAGTAAAACATACGCTGTAAACTTCCATGGCTGGATTTTGTAATTTGACTTTGACTTTTAAATTATGCAAAATCTTCAGTGCTGTGCTATGATGCAGCTTTAATAGGACACTCATGAGTTTGTGTACCTGGTTCCCAAACTGGTTAGAGGGGAAGGCGAGGATGCGTAAACCTCTCTCAGCATACGTGGCGTACATCTGCGCAAACTGAGAGTAGTTTACTGGGGTTTTGCCTCATTTAGAGGCAACGTTGGTAATGATGACAACATTCCCCCTGAAAATACAAAAACACACATAATACATAGTGTTTTAGTGAGGTTGGACTCATGATACGATGCTGCAGCTTATTTAGAGAGTGAATACATCATAGATAGATTTACCTGTACTTCTCCAGGGAAACCACATTGCCATCAATATCTGTCGCTGAGAAGTCATAAATAGACGTGGCCGTCTGCCAGTCCTCTGTCGGGGCAGACTGTCAGGAAGAAAGAGGGACATAACAAAGATGAGTGATGGGAGCTTACTTCTAAAGTGCACAATCAGGTGTCGTTTAAAAGAATGAATGTGGCATCATTCACACATCACACATGAGTGTTAGATAACAAGAAACACTGTGGATCCCACAATTTCCAAATGTTGTCAGACCTTATTCCACTGAAGAATTTAATCAAAAAAGAAAAATTCTGGTCCTTCAATATAAACCAGTATTTCCATCCAAATGTTTCTTACCATAGCCTGCAGCAGGACAGAGAGAAAGACGGTGGACCCTATCAGAAGCATGACTGCCCCTCGGAGAGGTCCTCTGAGGACAGACGCCGATCCAATCCCTGAACCAGTCAGCTACACCCTCACTGTTCAACTGCAATCCAACTACTGACAGAGAGCACTCGCTCTGCTGTGCTCATATAAAGGCAGCGGGTGATTATTAACAGAATTGATTGGCTCCAATAGGTCACTCTTTATAAATCACGTCAGAAGTGCTTGTGTAGGCCACAGGTCACAACATTATCGTGTGACCGTTGACTCCTTATAAAAGCAGGGAATTGGGACACAGGGGGGTCGAGCTCCATGTAGTCAGGGCAAAGAGCAACAGTCTGAGGAAATGCATGAACCCATTACATAAGGGTCTTAATATCAGCATGAAAAACAAAATGTTACATCAGTGAATTGGCATAAATTGCAGGACACGTAACCTCCTAAGTCTCACCCTGATATGAGCCTTCAGTTCATTCTAACAAGCAACATAATCCAGGAAAACAACAGAGTCAGTGTTTGAAACCATCCGGGAAGGCTTAGGGTTAAAAAACAGTTTGTTCCATAACCCATTGCTAAAGTATAGAGAACAGTCAAACTGCCAGACCCACAAAGCATTACTGATTTCGTCAAGTTGATCTGGTTTATAATAGATTATTTGAACATATTTTGACAAATCATAGAAGTCATGTTTCACAGCTTTACATGAATACATGGTTACAAATACGGCAATAAAGCGTTATCAATAATTAATGCAACATAATTTTCATCAAGAGCAATATGACAAAAGTCTACTGTATAGCTATATAATGTTTATGCATTGTACAAGAAGTGTGAGGAGGGATAACATGTAAGTGATCTACCTCTGACTTGTTAAATGTTTCGCTTTTATTGCCAAGTAAGTTTTTTACACATACATGGAATTTGTTTTGGTGTTGTTGGTGCATGTCAGACCTCTCTAAATATAGGATAAGAAAATCAAGTATTAAAATTTAACAATATAAATTTAAATTTAAAAATACATACACAGTATGTTTTAATGGTAAAAAAATTTAAAATAAAAAAATGAGAAGAGCAGTACAGCTGAGTAGTACAATGTGCAAGTTTCTCACAGAGACAAAGCTGATCAGCTGACTGCAGCTGCCAGATGGGGAATACTGCTGCTGTCTCACCCACATTTAACATCACACAAGAAATTCACTCATGTGTAATTTTGTATACGATATATTCTGAAGCTTGGGTGAGGCTGGGATGTGTCTTTAGGAAACAGCAGGTGGTGGGATGTGTTCCACAATGTCTCCTATGACTTATCATCAACGTTAACATGCGGGATTTATGAATGATAATCAACTGTTATGAGTAATAGAAATCGTAGCAGCACGCGCACGTTACCGTTGTGGTCAAGACAAAGAACAGTACCGTCGCGAGGACAACTCCGCTGCTCGTCACAGCCCCGAGAAGCAACAACACATGGATCGGCCTCATTTCACTTCAGTCCATCGACCGTGTTGACAGAAACACGCCGCCATGTTGTAGCTGCAGACTCCGCCCACCCATCCTGTTGTGAAAGCGATGCCGCGTTCCCTGTCACCTCGGAACGACCAGTCTCCGAGTCGGAAGTTGCAACTCAAGTCAGAATCTCGACTCTTGAAGTCGGAGAAACCACACCACCCCTGACTGCGAAATCCAAGATGGCTTCCATTTGAATCAACAAGTCATGAAAGCTGTACGATGGCTTATTTGATGACGTAAACATCAGTGTGCAGCTGTGCAACTCCTCGGGGACCTTTCAATGAAGCCTGAAGGAGGCTGGATTTTCACAATAAAATCTCTAAATGGCGATAAGCATTTACCAGGTAGCCTGAAGGATGTTGGATTTTCAAAATAAAAACCCCAAATAGTTACGGGATGTTGTCAGGAAGCCTGAAAGACGCTGGATTTTCAAAATAAAACCCTTCCTGTAAATCTTTTCTTAAACGAAACGTCTCTCTGAAATTGGATGTCATGTGAGAAAAATGTGTCTCTCCCATTCAAAATCTCTCTTCCGGCGGGAGGAGTTTTCTAGTTTTGTGATTTTTATTGTGATCATTATTGCTGTTACTTTTATTATTCTGTTCTTTTTATCAAACTGCATGCATATCCTTCCTACGTCATCAAGCTGCGTCGTTAACGAAAACGTGCGACACGCCGTCCCCTGGAGTTCCGCGATAAACTAAACAACATATACATTTAGATTAAATATAAAATAAGTGAAACGATATGGATGACGAGGAGGAAACATACCGACTGTGGAAGATTCGTAAAACCATCATGCAAGTGCGTTAGGTTTGAATGTTTTCTTTTAGCTTGTTAGCATAGCTTGTAAAGCTGTTCCGCTATGTAGCGATGGCCATGAGGGGCTTTGTTGAATTTATCGTCATCGTTGTGTAGTTTGCCTCCTGATCACTGACCAGCTGTTTGTGTATGTCGGGTCTTGTCCCAGAGTGAGTGTAAAACAACCACATCAACAATAACTGTCAGCGCTTTCATATTGGCTAAGTGTTTCAGGAAGCTCCACTGTGCCTGCGAAAAATACACAATGTAATGCACCAGTCTGATTTAAACCTTATCTACAGATCGTACATCAACCTGAACGCACAATTTATATCGCCTTATGATCACGGTTAAATGTGGGTGACACCCTGAGGAAAGAGGCTCGTCTGTACAGAGCTTTGATCAATCATTCAGATTTACCTTGATCTGTGCTAGTTTGCCATTAAAACGTTTCCACACTCACTATCTACATGGCTTCACCTCCGTGTCCCCAGCTGTGCCATGACAGAGGCTACCTGGTGACGCAGGACGAGTTGGATCAGACGCTGGATGAGTTCAAGAGTCAGTTCGGGGACAAACCCAGCGAGGGTCGCCCCAGACGCACAGACCTCACTGTGCTGGTGGCACACAATGACGACCCCACCGACCAGATGTTTGTTTTCTTTCCTGGTAGGTTCACACCCTATATAAGATACTAGATACTCAATGTTGCAGTGTAGAAAAACACAAATATTCGCTTAACTGAAGATGAGACAAGTATATTATCTTAACTTCTGTGCAAAACTCAGTGGCTCTGTGGTTGGCATGAAGCTGGACTCTCTGGTGACGGTGGCAGAGAAGAGAACACTTAAAGAGCTGCTGGACGTCATGGATGACGCCGGTCACCCTCTGCACACTGTCATCAGCAACCAGAGGAGCCTGTTCAGCAAAAGACTGCTTCTTCCCAAATGCAGAACTAACAGACTGAGAAACTCCTTTGTGGGGGACAAAGGAGTTTCATCATCAGACTGTGCAACTCCTCACCCGGGGGGAGGAGGGGTAACAGGAGGACAGAGGATGGGAAGAAGCAGTAGCCAATAACCACTACCCATAACACACTGGATACTGTGCAATAGGTTTTAAACACTGGACACTGTGCAATAGTTTTTTAAACACTGGACACTGCAATAGTCTCAACACAACCTTTTTTAATAACATGTCAATTGTTTTACTGTCTTTTTACTATTTGATTCTTTTTATTATTTGTTTTCATTTCCTGTAATGCTGCTGGAATTTTTATTTCCCTGAGAGAGTCTTCCCAAGGGATCAATAAAGTTAGATCCAATCTAGTCTAATCTAATCTAAAACAGTTGAATCTTGACATTGTGGTTGTTCTGAATGTCACATGCATCATTTTATATAATTTGGAATCAATTTTTCTTCACCTGTCAGAGGAGCCCAAAGTGGGAATCAAGACGATAAAGATGTACTGTCAGAGGATGCAGGAAGAGAACATCACACGAGCCATCATTGTTGTGCAGATGGGCATGACACCCTCAGCCAAACAGGTAAACAACAATTTAAAGTATTGCTAAACAACAGAAGAAAGTCTAGTGATTATACTGTGACTGTGTTATCGTGAGTTCACTTTCTGTGTTGCTGTTTTGATACAAATATACATGGAAATGTTTTCTTTCAGTCTCTAGTCGACATGGCGCCCAAATACATATTGGAGCAGTTTCTACAACAGGAGCTGCTTATCAACATCACAGAGCATGAGGTAAACACTGCTGAGTCCACTGTATTTTCCTATCAACAGTATAACTAAAAATGTTCTCATAGACTGTGGCTCATATCTAAATGTTTGTGTTTGATGTATTACTTTTATGTCCTACAGCTTGTTCCAGAGCACATTGTTATGACAAAAGAGGAAGTGACTGAACTACTGGCGAGATAGTATCCTTTAAAACTGCAGTTATGCAAAGACCACTGTATGCGGTGTCCTAATAAGACTCAGCTCCTCAAGAGATTACGTATTTGTTGTCCTTCCTTAACATTTTCACTTCAGCAAATTAAAAGAGAGTCAGTTGCCAAGGATCCAGGCTGGAGACCCTGTTGCTCGCTACTTTGGCTTAAAAAGAGGACAGGTAAAAAATCTACATGAAACTTTTTAAATGATCATAATGTATGATAAAAGCATCCACACACAATGTTGCATAATGTTGTGTGTTTAATCTTTTCTTTGTCATTCAATAAACTGCTTTTGAAAAAAGGATTGTGATGTCACTGAAACTTTTTAGACCTGTGTCTAGTTTGTTATTGTTGCTGACATAAGCTAAAGCTAACGCTAACTGTTTTAGGTAGTAAAGATCATTCGACCGAGTGAAACAGCTGGGAGGTACATCACATACAGACTGGTCCAGTGACACACAGGTACGTAATTATGGAAGAAAGTAGTACTGAGGAGGAGTCATTGATCGGATTCAGCTCGTAACCCTGGCCTCATCCATACATCTGTACCAGAAAGTCACATATCAAATCTGTTCATTTCCACTGTAGTTTACAGGTCTGATCACCCTCAGCATGTGTTTGTGTCTTGTATGTAGTTGCTTGACAAAGTCTGTTTTATTTTGTAGGTGTTCTTCTGGATCAACATTTAGGACCAGTGAAGGAAATTGAAGAGGTTATACAAATTGTCCTTCTGCTTTTTGACCTGTTTTGTAAACTGAAATATTTCAAGTGATAAGATTTTGTAAAATAAAGGATTAAATATGGAAATACTGTTTTAATTTACTCTGCACTGCATCAATTACATACAAATCACAAAACCTAAAGCACGTCACACATTTAGTTTCATAATTTGTCAGACTAATGATTTTAAATGCTTACCTTCTTTCTCCATTTAAAAGCCATACTTCAGCTCCTGTAGGCTGACGCATTTAGAACTACTGTGTATTCTTTTTCATGTCCCAGATCAGAGTTACCACCCACTGTAATAAACTGTTACCTCATAGCAGGAAGTGAGAATTTTCATCAGTGGTAGTCGCATTTCTATTTTCTTCATGATCATGTTTGGCAAACTTTTTTCTGTACTACGGCTTGTAAAAAGAAAATATGACAAAACAAGATCATACATGGAACAAGGACACATTTTAAAATAAGATTTTTATTAAAATAGACCCAACAGCCATAAACGTAATACAGGCAACATTTATAAGAAACTTCTAAATTTATTTTTTAAATTTAGTGCTGAAAAAGAACCCGCAGCACTTAAGAGAATTTACTTAAAAAAAAAAATTAAAAAAAGTTGCATTGCACACATTCTGGCGTGACTCATTTCACTTCCTCAGGATTGTAAGAGCAACGAGGAAAACACTTAAAAATAGAAACAGACAAGAAAACATTTTTAAATCATTTAAGTCAAAACTCTTGAAATGACAGGAACAATTGCTTCTAACAGCAGTAAGCGCGCAGAGGATAAATCAGTACAGCTGCAAACATCTGCACAGGTTAAAGCAAAAGTAAAATTTGAATTTTGATGTTCACGATAAAAGAAGCCTCTGTTTTAAGTTTCCCTGGATCTTAAAGCATAAAAACCAGATTACTGTCACTGGACTTTATCAGATTTTGTACTGTAATATTTTGATGATATCAGACAAACTCCGGGCTACTGTCCCTGTTCCTTGTTAGGGGTAATTTCTTTCCACACAGACGCGCCAGCCCAAGCCCTGACAGGCTTAAAATAGGGGAGTATGGGTAGTTGTTGTTGTTGTTGGACTGATTCACATTGAGATCGGCCAGGGAGGCACTCAGGGTCGGCTCCACCCCTGTGTCTTCGTCTGGGGGCCCGCTCTCTGGCAGAGCAGGGGGCTCTTTTCCCGCTGGGTTGTCTTGCTCTTGATCCACTTCCTGTTCTGGGTCGGTGTGGGTCTCAGGCTGGCTGGACAGGTCCAGGCTGTCCCTGTAGCTCAGCATGTCGTCGTCCATGCTCACCTCGCTCTCCTGCTTTGTCAGGCAGTGGGGGTGTGTGGCCCTCTGGCCACTTTCGTCCAGCTCAGAGTCAGAGTCGGGGAGCTGCTCACTGGAGCCCAGTGACCCCAAAGAACTCTCTGGATGAATGGGGGTACAGAGGTGATTGCTTTTTGACACTCAGATAAATGTGTTTGTAACTCAGCAGGAACTACAAGAGGAAGCAGTTTAATTGACAACAGCATTATGTTATGAAAACTTACCACAGCCTTCCTCCGTCTTATCAGAGTCTGGTTTACTCTGCTCCTCTATGCCTCCATCCTCCTCTCCATCACCAGGACTCCCCACCTCGTCATTCCCAATAGCAGCCTGATCCAAAAAGAGGAAACGGAAGAGATTGCATTAACAAGACACATGAAATGCATGCTATTACATCTTTTTGCCTCTTGCCATCATGGGAGGTTTTGTTTATAGAACATTTTCAATGACAGCACATTTCCTCTTACCTGTCACAAACTGACATCTTCAAAATAAGCTCACTGGTCTTTTGAAGAATATATCTTTACATAAAAAGGCCTTAAAGCCTTTAAAAGCTAAAATACCTAGAAATCCGCTTTTTCAAAATTAGCATCTAAAAGTATTTACATGTCAAAGCTAAGACAAATAACACCTGAATCAATTTTTACAAATTACGATGGGAATGGTGTCACTACTCTTCTACTGAGATTAGCCCTCACATGGAGGCACAGGTCACAGTTGTGCTGACAATCTGAATTTGTTTGTCTCAGCAACCAGTCAAGTCGCAGGAAATGGTCACAATCGTCCTTTGTTTCCAAGCCATGATGTTGCAATAAAATAGACAAGAGAAATGTTTTTTTCCTTTGGCCTTTCGGATATAAAATGTCAATTAGTTTGAACCTTTTAGACGTTTGTATAAAATGTAATTAGAGTGTGAACATTTAAGTTCCGGCCAAAAGACATTCCTAACGAAGTTAAATGTCCCAGAAGTATTTCAGTGGCCGTCGTACTAAGCTGTTTAATTTCTCTAAATGATGAAGAGAGGAGCTTCATTGCTTCCCAACTTATCTCCTTTCTGAAAGGAAAAAAAATGCTGCCCCACTTTCATAGTGGTAGCAAATTTAAGGTCACAAAACCTCGTAGCTGCACCTGGACACACCAATGTAAATATAGAAAAAAAAACAGCGCAGCCGTTTCGTTCTCCTGACACAATCCAGAACTGATGTATATCCTCCCATTATTGTCTGAGCTCCTGATATCACTGGGCCGTGCAGTCTGTCTCCTGTTATAAATAAAGTTGGTTTAAAAAAGTGCTGAGGGTAAGTGGAGTTGATTTTGTTTTCACACCGTGGTTCTGTTTCCTAACTGCTTCCAGATTCTCCTTGACATTTTGCATTGTAACTAAATGCTTTCAGCACCAACAAGGCTCAACACTTGTTGTAGTGTCCAAAAACATATTTCATAAATGTACTGCTTGTATTCAAATACGTTAACACACTGTCTGCTGTAAAATAAAAACCACGGAGATTAACATCAGCCCTCATCACACAGAGAGCCGTACCTGCTGAGTGGAGGCAGAGCGACAGGGTTTCTGGGACTGAGAGGTTTTGGACTGGAAGATGGATGAATAGAAGACTATGAGGGCTTCTACGATGCGGGCCTGATGAGGGTAATCAACCAGAGACGACAGAGATATCGTGGCGCCAGTTGGACGGGGCCGCATCAGGGAGGGGCCAAACACGATCCCCAGGTTACTGGGACTCATCTTGTTATCCTCCTCCAGCTCTGCGATCCTGGGAGCATGAAGTTAGAGGAACGATCAAAAATAAATTTCTATACCTAATCAATGTTAACATTTAAAACACTTCTTTCTTCACTACAAGTGGTATAATAACCGACCTTCTGAGGTGGCGGATGATGTATCGCAGTGTAGCGATGTTAGCCTTGGGCAGCTCCTTTAGAAGCTCTTTCAGCTTGTCCACCAGCACCAGGATGTCTGGATCAGTGTTTGGGCCCAGATCCACCAGCTCGGGCCCCCGACCCCCTGCTGGGTTAGCTGAGCCGAGCACAGTGCTCACCTCCTCTCTTTCAGATGTCTCACCTTCACTCTGCAGACTCTCTTTGGCCAAACCCATCAGGCTGTTGTAGAGGCGGAACAACATGATGGGCTCTGGTAGCTGAAGGCGAAAGACAAAGGAAACGGAGAAGGTGTTAAAGGGCTGAACTTGGTGCGAACACACATTTTATTAACAGTGAAACAAGATAATGTTATAAATGTTATAAAAGTACATATTATTTATATATACCATCATGTGAGGCATGAATATATATAAAACCAGGTGTGTGTTCACAGATATTTATAATCGTGTATATATGATTTGTTTGGGTTGTATATTTCCAAATTGTTTTTATTGCAACTTTGGAACGATAAGCTTTGAGCAAAAAAAAATTAAAAAAAACAAAGCTATACACACATACACTCAAAATAAATACAAGTTTTAATTTTGTTTTTTAATTTTCCCCTGACAACCTACAGTGGCATCAATCACTGAAGATATACATTCTGCTCTGTGTCTCTGATTTAAAGAGAAAGCCCAACTGAAAATGTAGCCCACTTTACAGTTAACATATTTCTCCATTTGTAAAGGTTGTTTTAAAGTATCCTACTTGTCTAATGAACGCATTTAACAAAACATGGAACTACAGTTATGACACACTATATGAGAAAAGTATTGGGACACCTACAGGAGCTTTTATGACATCCCATTCTAAATACATAGGCATTAATATGTAGTTGGTTCCCCTTTTGGTTCTTTAACAATTTCCTTGTGTCTGTGGTAATTTGTGTACAGGCCAGTCAAGTTCCTCCAAATCTTGCTTTGTGCACTGGGGCTGGAGCAGAAAAGGCCCATCCCCAAACTGTTCCCACAAAGTTGGAAGCATAGACTTGTCCAAAATGTCCTGGTAAGCTGAAGCATTAAGATTTCCCTTCACTGGAACTAAGAGGCCTAGTTCAACCAATGGCACTGAATGAAACACCTGCATTCAATCATTAAGAGGTGTGTCCCAATACTTTTGTCCATACAGTGTATAATAGATTTTCAATTGTTAACTTGGAAAAAAAAGACGAAAACCAAGCCAGAATCTCCAGATACGAAACATGATGTTAAAACAAAGACACTTTAAACAAGTAGAGGATACAGGTACATTTTCTGCCACATCTTAACATGGCTTTGTGTGCGTTCATGTGTGTGTACCTGACGGAGGTAAAGCTTGAGAACGTTGCTGATGTCGTGTGGTGAACACTGGGACAGCTCCACCAGCTCCTTCCCATTCTCAAAGGCCTGACATAATTTCTCAACGCGAGTCTTCACCCCGTTCACCCTGTAGATGCCCTGCAGGGAGGAAGTGGTGGTTTGTACCAGACACGTGAGATTTCTACTCTGTGGCTGAGCAAGAGTTTCAAACTCACAGTGACAGACAAAGTGCTTTTTCCCCACCTTCATCTTGAGTGCCCGTCTCTCGATCTCGGAGATGCACTTGGTGATGATGAAGGGGATGCCGTCACTGGCACAGCTGGCCACCTGAGTGAACTCCCTGCCGAACAGCTGCAGGCGACCCTGAAGCTTCTTGTGGCCACACTGGATAGCCAGGGTCTCCAGACAACGCTTGTGACAAGCCAGGAAACACTGAGGACAGAAGAAGAAGACGCTGACTAGATGAAGTCTAAAGCCTGAACTGAAAGGGCAGTTGTAGACATAGGCTCACACTCTATCCCGCTTCACAAATTG